GTACACACATACATGTACATACACGCAGACACATGTACAGATATGTACATACACAAACGTACAATTGTACATGCATACACAGACACACACACACACATACCACCCCACCCATAAAAAGTTGCAGTACTTAGTTGTTCACTCATAGATCCGGGTACTGCACGCTAGGGGGGAAGTAGAGAGCACAGCACACACTCCTTTTGCTTTCAGCTATTGAGCAGTCTGACGGCTCCCAGTGCCAATGACAGATCTGGCCTGAGCTCCGCCTGCTCGGCAAGACGGCCCTGGGGGACACACTCGCCCCCACCATAATTTCCACTCGCCATTGGCGAGCAGGAAAGTGGAAATTTCAAGCCCTACACTATTGTTATGCCTGCCAAGTAGATTCCTATCCTGAAGCGATGCATTCTAGACAGTTGCACTTTCAAATATAATGCCTTCGAGGAGATGCAATGCCTTCCAGGAAGAAATAAATCCCAAAATACTGCCTGCAAGGGTGGTATAGCTATACATTAAATATGTTAGAGCAGGGGAGGACAAATCCTGAGGGCCAGAAAGCCCATGTTCCTTAAAAATTACAAGAATCACAAAACTCAGTACTGAACCATAAGGACCAGGATTGACTGCCAAGAAGACCTATACCCTAAACTCTTTAAAAACGCAGAGGAGAGTGCAAACGCCGAGTGCATTACCAAAACCACTTTTATTAAAAAGCACAAGTCAAAGACATACTCACATACAATTGTAAAATAGAGCAAACATAATAGAACTCAGATGCAGCCGTGGGGCGATGTCATTTGACCCATCAACAGATGCAGGTTCGTATGCTGACGCAGAGCTAAAACCTGAGCCTATGGGCAGTACAGTGGATAAGTGGTTAGCACTTATGCCTAGCAGCACTATGGCCACTGGTTTGAATCCCAACCTCAGCACTACCTGCATGTTCTCCCTGTGCCTGTGTGGGTTTCCTCTGGCTACTCTGGTTTCTTCTCACACTCTAAAGACATGCTGGTAGATTAATTGGCTCCTGTCTAAACTGGCCCTAATATGTGTATGTATGAATGTGAGTTAAACCTCAGATTGTACGCTCCTTGAGGACAGGGACTGATGTGAGCATACTATATATATTGACAGCGCCACATAAGTCCCTGTAATAAATACATTTTCCTTAAAAATTACAACTGGCTCCAAACATTTGAGGTTTTCTCTACCTGAAGTCCTGCTAGCTCATGGATTGGACAGACTGGCTCCTGAAATTCAAGGATTTGTCTATCCCTGTGTGAGAGGGTAGGTACTGACCGTCAAAAACTTTCCTGAGCTCCAGAGGAAAAGATGCTTCTAAGGCAGTAGACATCTCACACACAAGGGGACATGGCCTAGTTCCTGAACAATGGGGAACATGGGGAAGGGGAGAAGGTGCTGCAGGAGAGACGGGGGCATTATAGCTAACCTCTGGACAGGTTCAGCCTAAAGTGGCTGTAAAGGCGAAAGATTTTTTCGGGGCTGCTCTATGCAAAACTACAGAGCAGGTATTTATTATTATTATTATTTCAGGCACTTATATAGCGCTGTCAATTTACGCAGCGCTTTACATACCTATTGTACATTCACATCAGTCCCTAACCCTCAAGGGGTGTACAATCTAAGGTCCCTAACTCACATTCATACATACACATACTAGGGACAATTTAGACAGGGTCCAATCAACCTACCAGCATGTCTTCGGAGTGTAGGAGGAAACCGGAGTACCCGAAGGAAACACACGCAGGCACAGAGAGAACATGCAAACTCCATGTTTATTATTTTAGGGGGAAAAAACCCTCAATCTCAAGTACCCCCGTGATCAGATCAATATGGATGCGATCATTGATAAAATCCTGTATAATAATAAAAGTTAGTCACTTTTTATTTTAGCAGCATACATTTTGAGTTGTTGATCAAGAAAAAGTACATAGTTCAAGCCTTCTGATTTGTTTCAGACCTGTAACTCAAAGTACTGAAGCAAGGGCCAGGATTGACAGCCAAGCAGACATACACCCTAAGTCAGCAATGGCAACTTATGTGTTTTTTTGGGGGGGAGGGGGTTTATTAAATATCGGCACAGGCAGGGTTAAAGATGATCATCTGTACCCCATAAAGAAAACATCTGTAGCAGTCACCGTGTCACGCTGAGAAGTATTCTGACCACGTGTTTCACCATACCGCTGCCTCACCGCTCTGATTCAGGGACAAACGTGACGGCCGCTTGTTATTTTACCCTGCGTACCAAAAATGCTTCAAAAGCAAAGATGCACTTGTTAGGTGTATTATTGGAAGAACTATTCTAAGCACTATGGACATTACATTACCTGATTTATTATCAATAACAATTATTTTATTAAGAGAAAAAAAAAATAGTCTGGCATATGCAGAAAAAACAAAAAAAAACAACAAAAAACAAACCAAAAAAAAAACCAAAAAAAAAAACATAGGACCTGCGTGTGGCCTTACCTCCCCCAAGCACAGTTTAATGCGGAACTAAAAGAAAAAACTAAAACGGCAGTTTTGCAGGCCATAGACGGGTGGAAAAATGGCCATTTAAAAAGACAAAAAAAAAAATGAAAAAATCAGTCTTCAACAGGCCAACGTTACCCCCAACGGGAAAAAAAAAAAAAAAAAAAAAAAAAAAAAAAAAAAAAAAAAAAAAAATCGCCCGATTTTCGTCCCGTCTACAGCCAGCATTAAATTACTTCTGTCCCTTGCAGAGAGCTCCGCTATTATATTTGACATGATGAGAAGTATTGCGGTTGCAACAATGTATCTATTTGTAACCATTTCAGATACAGATGTTTTTATTTGGATAAAAATAGATACATTGTTGAAACCGCAATACTTTTCATATAAAATATAATAGCGGACTGGAATTTTTATTCTTCTTTTTCTTCTTCTTCTTGCAGGCCACGGTTCAGATTTTTTAGCGATAAAAAAAAAATGTGCCAAAACCCCGAAAAACGGCCGACCAATTAACCCATTAACGGTGCGAAAATCGGACAATTTTCTTTCAGCCGAAAAATCGGTCGATTTTCTATGGCCTGCATTAGTTCCTTTTCAACACAACCTCTGCCCTGCCCCCTCAAGCAGAATTGTTTTTTGTTTGTTTTTTCAGTAGACCCACCCCCGCCCACTAGACTCGGCCACAATGCCATGCCCCTGGTCCCAGAATACTTAGATCACATCACCCCAGAGGCCGCAGAATTGTGCACACAGATTGGGCGGCTGGGGCTCAGTAGCTGGCTGTCTGCACCCAGAAGAGGCAACAAGATGGCGGCACAGGGCCTGCTGTATGTCGCCCCAACAGTGGAACAACGCTGGGTTCCCTATGCTGGGTGAATATGTGTTTGGAAGAGAATGCAGCACTACTAGTAAAATGGGGGGGAAACAAGGAGGGAGGGGGGGTGTGGCGCGTGGGGGCGGGAGGTATGAGTACCACTTTAAAGGATCAGTTGACCTATGAAACATGCTACATGTTCCACCCATATAGGGTGAAGCATGTAACATGGTCCAGCTCCTGTTGCGAGTCCCCCCTGTGACAGCAAGCGAGAAATCTTCTCCCGCCACCTGCTGTCACTTTTTGAAATGAGCACGCCTGTGCAGGGCCCCACCCACACAGCTGCGTCATTCATTCACCGTTTCCTGTGAATGAATGAGCTACAAATACCATCAGCCACCACGGCTGATGGCTTGTAGTTCTGAATGGACTGCGGGATCACTGATGGGAACTCTCGTAGTTCATTCACAAGCCGTGCAGCTTTCAAAAGACAGCCTATATGAAGGTGCAGATGGAAAGCTGCAGGGCTTGTCTGCAGAAGCCTGACATTGCACCCCTGGTCCACTGATCACGGGTGCAATGCTTTCCAGGCTCCTGCAGGATAAAATAATAAATGCACTTTTTTTCTGCAAAAAATATGTGCATTTATTATTTTTTCTGCAAAGGTGAACTTATCCTTTAAGCAGACCTGAACCTGGAAAAAAGAACTTCCCACAATCCACTCTGATCCTTCCCCATTCTGCTCAATGTAAGCTGTACTGTGTAAAGACCGGAGGAGGCAGGCGCCACCTTTCTTTTTTTTTTAGGGTGTCAGGTCCTACATTCTGATCCACTGCGAGGTAAACAGATAAAAGTGTCCAACGTTTGCATGAAGACAAATAAAGAGTTTCTTCATGATAAACAATTGAGTACTGTCCGTGATACTTTTTTTATTTGCACTAACATACAATTTTGAGGACAAGCTTTCGAGGAATGTACTGCTTGGACCTTGAAGAAGGGGACATTCCCCGAAAACTTGCCCTCAAAATTGTATGTTAGTGCAAATAAAAAAAAGTATCACGGACAGTACTCAATTGTTTCTGTGGCAAATGCACTAATACGGCTACAATCACCTCAAGCAAAATTCATGATAAACGAACACCCTATTCCTTATTGCAGTAATTATGAGTCCACCGGGTGTTTTTAATCTTTCTTTGAGCAAGGAGAACTTGGACTTGCTTTTTCCGTATGTTTTCTTGTTAGCAGTGTATTAGGCTCTGCACGGATACCTTAAACAGATCTAATGAATTGAATAACAGCTAACAAAACTCACTTCAATGACCTTTAAAGGGTTAGGCGTGAAATGGACTGAGAAGAGAAGGAGCACAGCCCCACGTCTCCCCCTACTGGATGGAAGGCACACATACAGCAATTCTGACTACATCGACTTTCCAGGAGCGAAACATAAGGACTCCTTTACCATATGGACACTTCTGTTCCAGGAAAAAAATCATCCTAAGTGCAAAAATGAGAGGGAACCTGTGAACATGGAAGGAAGGTTGTTCATTTTGTTGCTGCATGCTCCTGGGCTGTCATCCTTAGCCCCTTCATCCCTTCTGTACACACACCAGCATACAAAGTGTACAGAGACCACCAGACCGGACTGGGCTATTTTTATTCTAACACATACACTATATTGCCAAAAGTATTGAGCCAGCCCTCCCAATCATGTGATTCAGGTGTTCCAATCACCTCCATGGCCACAGGTGTATACAATCATCACCTAGGCATGCAGACTGCTTCTACAAACATTGGTGAAAGAATGGGTCGCTCTCAGGAGCTCAGTGACTCCAAGCGTGGTCCCGCGATAGGTTGTCACCTGTGCAATAAGTCCATCCGTGACATTTCCTGGCTACTAAATATTCCACGCTCAACTGTTAGTGGGATTATAACAAAGTGGAAGCAACCGGGAACAACAGCAACTCAGCCACCAAGTGGTAGGCCACGTCACATGACAGAGCGATCACATCACATGACAGCTGGATCAGCACATTCTGAAGAGCACAGTGCGCAGAACTCGCCAACTGTCTGCAGAATCGATAGCTAAAGACCTCCAAACTTCGTGTGGCCTTCAGATTAGTGTGTAGAGAGCTTCATGGAATGGGTTTCCGTGGCCGAGCAGCTGCATCCGAACCTTACATCACCAAGTGCAATGCAAAGCGTCAGATGCAGTGGTGTAAAGCACGCCACTACTGGACTCTAGAGCAGTGGAGACGTGTTCTCTGGAGTGACAAATCTCGCTTCTCTGTCTGGCAATCTGATGGACGTGTCTTGGTTTGGCGGTTGCCAGGAGAACAGTACTTGGCCGACTGCATTGCCAAGTGTAAAGTTTGGTGGAGGGGGATTATAGTGTGGGGTTGTTTTTCATGGGTTGGGCTTGGCCCCCTAGTTCTGGTGAAGGAAACTCTTGAGGCCTCAGCATACTAAGACATTTTGGACAATTTCATGCTTCCATCTTCGTGCGAAGAGTTTGGGGATGGCCCCTTCCTGTTCCAACATGACTGCGCACCAGTGCACAAAGCAAGGTCCATAAAGACATGGATGAGCGAGTTTGGGGTGGAGGAACTTGACTGGCCTGCACAGAGTCCTGACCTCAACCCCATAGAACACCTTTGGGATGAATTAGAGCAGAGACTGCGAGCCAGGCTCCTCCCCCGACATCAGTGCCTGACCTCACAAATGTGCTTCTGGAAGAATGGTCAAACATTCCCATAGACACCCTCCTAAACCTTGTGGACGGCCTTCCCAGAAGAGTTGAAGCTGTTATAGCTGCAAAGGGCGGAGCCAACTCCATATTGAACCCTACGGACTAAGACTGGGAGGCCGTTCATGTGTGTGGAAAGGCAGGAGACCAATACTTCTGGCAATATAGTGTAGATATCAGCCCCTAAAATAATAAAGCAAATGACTGGAAGAATACAATTTCCTTGTTGTATACTTAAAGCTGACCTCCAGCTTCCTCTTCAGGTTCCTCTCCTGGACTGCAATAGCTTACTCTGATTTCACTGCACACTGTGAGCTCCTCACAATGTGAATTAGAAGCTGCAGCAATTCTGAAAGAGCCTGCTTCATTTGCTGGCTTGAAGACATCCAGCTTCATCTAGCTCCTTCCTCCCCAGTCTGACTGTCCCTGGCCCAACCCTTTTATTCTCTGGACTTCAGTTCTTTCAATCATGGAGGCCCAGCAACACATGCAGGCACTACCTAGGGCAGTCAACATGCAAATGCTGTCTGTGTAGGTACACCCACTCCTCCAGACTGACATCCACCCACCAAGGCATTTTGATATTTGCATAACTCCTCCCAAGAGCCAACCCACTGCTTGCATCAGGGATGAGGGCTCTTCACAGAAGTACTGAGGTAGGATGCTGTGATGTTTTCAGCAAGCTATGTCCAGTATCCTGCCAGTCCCTCCTACCAGCCATGATCTGCCTGCATTGCATAGAGAAGCACAGAAACCCAATGATGATGTCAACAGGTCTAAAATAAGTTATGTAATAAAAACGGGAATGTTTTATTTAAAAAAAAATCATTAGCATGTTGGTGAGTTTGGAGGGAGGAACCAGAGGAGGCAACATTTAAAGTGATATTAAAGGCAATTTAAAAAAAAAAAAAAAAAACAACATGTCATACATGGTTTTACACAGAAGGGCCCCGATCCTCCTCCTCTCGGCTTCCCTCCGGTGCTCCTGGACCTTCACTCCTGCCAAGTGCCCCTAGATCAAGCAGCTTGCTATGGGGAGACCCCAGCAGGCCAATGCCCTGTGTGTCCATTCATGAACAGAGCAGCGGCTTGGCCCTGCCCCCTCTTTTTCCTCAATGACTGTAATTGACAGCAGCAGAAGCCAATGGCTCCAATGATGAGGGAAAGTCCTGGAGAGCCGAGGCTCTCATGCACATTGCTGGATCGGGATGGGGCTCGGGTAAAAAAAAGGTAAAAAACCTTGAGCCTTTACATCCACTTTAAGCAGATTAAACCAGCTTTAATCTTTACGTGCAATAAACCATCGCTCACCCATAACAGCAATAAACTCCGTTCTCACAGGTTGGGGCAGGCACACTGCCAGAAAAACAAATCTCAGGTATGTACTGGAGGGGTGGTTACCTTGATAAGGTAGGGCGGGGTTTGTGCTAGACTCACAACCATAGAAAACAACTGGCTGGCTAATATCCCCCCACCTAGATCTTCATCAAGGCACCACCCCCTTTGAAGCATCACTGAAGATTTCATCCAACCAGTGTGCTCTGCCATGTACTGGCCGGCCCCTGAGGAGACTGCACAGTACAGAATTATACAACACAGAGCTGAACTTGTGCAGAAGAGCACATAGACTGAGGGTTGTAGTATACGACACGGATCTCAGACTGATGTAAGCTGTGGTAGACCTTAGCATAGCTGCAGTTTTACCCTTAACTAATCAAATATACATGTTGCTTGTAAGGACTCCTTGAAGGGCCACTCCACCCAAAACTGATTATCAGTTATTCTGTAGATGCAATTAAATCACCAGACGATCTCTGGACAGTCCACATTGAGCCTGAACTTTTTGGGCTTTATGCACACTGAGCTCTAAAAGCTGCTTTCCTGCCTCTAAATGCTCATGTATGTAAGCCTATATGTCCATGCACACATACAGTGCCTTGAAAAAGTCTTCATACCCCTTGAAATTTTACACATTTTGTCATGTTACAACCAAAAACGTAAATGTATTTTATTGGGATTTTATACGATAATGAAGGAAAATGATAAAACAGTTTTAAAAATTTAAAAATTAAATCTGTGTAAAGTGTGACAGCATTTGTATTCAGCCCCCCGGAGTCAATACTTTGTAGGAACCCCTTTCACTGCATTTACAGCTGCAAGTCCTTTTGGGGATGTCTCTACCAGCTTTGCACATCTAGAGAGGGACATTTCTGCCCATTCTTCTTTGCAGAATTGCTCAAGCTCTGTCAGATTGGATGGAGAGCGTCTGTGAACAGCAATTTCAATGCTTGCCACAGATTCTCCATTGGATTTCGGTCTGGACTGTGACTTGGCCATTCTAACCCATGAATATGCTTTGATCTAAACCATTCCATTGTAGCTCTGGCTGGATGTTTCGGGTCGTTGTCCTGCTGGAAGGGGAACCTCCATCCCAGTCTCAAGTCTTTTGCAGATCTAACAGGTTTTCTTCTAAGATCGCCCTGTATTTGGTGCCATCCATCTTGACGTTACAAGTCTGATCAGCATCCCTGTCTCTGCTTAAGAAAAGCATCCCCACAACATGATGCTGCCACCTCAATGTTTCACGGCGGGGATGGTGTGTTCAGGGCAGGGACAGACTGACAACTCACGGGGCCCCCGGGCAATAGGGGATCATTAGGCCCCTGTGTCCTTGCCCAAACTCAAAAAAGCCTATGAAAAAGGTACCAGGGGCATCTCATGGGGCCCCCTACTGACCCCGGGCCCTCGGGCAGTGCCTGAGTTTCCAAATGGTCAGTCCGCCCCTGGTTCAGGGTGATGTGCAGTGTTAGTTTTCCGCCACACACAGCATTTTGCTTTTAGGCCAAAAAGTTCAGTTTTGGTCTCATCTGACCAGAGCCCCTTCTTCCACATGTTTGCTGTGTCTCCAACATGGCTTCTTGCAAACAGGACTTCTTATGACTTTCTTCCAACAATGACTTTCTTCTTGCCACTCTTCCATAAAGGCCAGATTTGTGGAGTGCACGTCTACGAGTTGTCCTGTGGACAGATTCTCCCACCTGAGCTGATAATCTCTGCAGCTCCTCCAAAGTTACCATTGTCCTCTATGAGGATAATTCTTTTTTAGGTTTATCCTTGAGATTATTTTGGTGCGAAGATTTGAAATCAAAGAGCACTTATATCCACGGCTTGCCTTCTGGGTTTCATTCAGCGCAATTTGACCCATCTGTTTTTGGGGGTCAAAAACTATCCAGTAAGAAGGAGTGTGTTTGGTGCTGGTGAAGGATTCCTCCTTTCTTTCCTCTTGGCCGTTTTGAGATATTCATAGAAGTGTTGTGGATCCAGGGGAGAGGGGCTCTTTCTCTATATTTCAAGCCTTGTGGATTGGACTTTAAATTTTATTTATTTATATATATATATATATATATATATATATATATATATATATATATATATAATATATATATATATATAAATATATATATATAAATGTGTGTGTGTTTTGCATTTATATGTAAATCATCTGTAGTGCCGCACTTCATATATCATTAAAAAAAAAAAAAAAAAAAAAAAACCCTGACAGTGCGTCCAGGAACAGCAGTGTTGTGGCAGGAAAACCGCCTGACACGCGTGTAAACGCATCTAAACTCATGTTAATGCTTGGTGCATCAAGCGCTTGAACGTTTATTCATTTCAATGAACAGAATAAATTATTATTCTGGCTAAAGAACTGAATAAACACCCAAGCGTTCTGTGTGCATGGGGCCTAAAGAAAGCCAACACTATGAAAATTATAGGTCAGCCATTTGCTGACATACTTCTGAAAATGCCAGCTGGCTGGCATTTGAATCACTCAAACAGAACAAGCAAGCAGCAAATAAGGTGGGGGTTATTTTTCCCCCACACACATGCTAAAATGTGCTTTTTCTTTACATGAAAACACCTCTGCTTTAACCGTCCAACACCCGCGAGGTCCTACACTAGCACAGGCATCTTCTCCCCGGTGACGGTCTTCAGTCATCTTGATTGGCTAGTGAGGGATGATGTCACTCCTGCACATGTGCAGAAGAGCAGTCATTCCAGCACACAGGCCCTATTCGGGAAAGCACACTGAGCCGTGCGTGCGCACCTCAGTGTACATTCGACAAACGACAGTGAGCAGGCAGGTTGGTTTATTACAGAAGAGACCTTGCATTTTGGATGCATCCAAATCCCTGAATCACAATAGTAATGTATTTCAACGGATCCAAAATAAATTATAATGAAAACAACAAATTCTTTTATTAGTTTCATTTGGATGACATGATGCGATAGTTTGGGTCTTTTGTTAATGTTTGAAGCATCCGAAGTAAATAATGACATAACAATTGATCAGAATTGATTTTAATTAGTTTGTTTTATTTGGATGAGAGCGGCGCGGTAGTCTTTGACTCTTGGATAATCAGCTAATTCTTTTTGCATTAACATTTTTCATTATTTAAAAAAA